CGTGCACACACACAATTGGAGTCAGGAACCTGGTTATGGGCTCCTGTTGGAGTATTGTTTCTACTTGGCCTTGAAAATCAACATGGCGGAGAGGAATATTTTTCAGTTTTCGCTGACGCTGAAAGGCGTATTTTTAAGAGAAGACGTCACTAAAAATCAGACAAATTTACAAATCACCAGCAACAGTCAAAAATCGAATTGGCTCATATTCTAGTATTAGATAAGCCTTCAGGTAAAACAGACCAAGCCATTTATAGTTTGTTAAAAAATTCTTTTGTTTTCGAGAAAATTGATAAAACTCAATTTACGCGTAATTACATTCATTCGAAGTTCGAGTTTAGCTCATTTTTGGACGCCAAAAATGGATTTAGCCCATTTGTACTTGTAAAAGCGGTGAAAAACTTACTTATTCTAAGGACTTTTAGAACAATGTCTCCTCTACCTTTTCACTAAAAAAGTAGAATTACTATTTAAATGTGAAATAAAATACGGATTTTTCTATCTATTTACTTAAGTGTCCCTGTCTGGAAAAGTTTTCCAGGGGCCAAAAGTGGTAGTCAACCGATTCGGCTGAAACTTGGCAAAAAAGTTGAGTGTAATAAGATATTTCAAAAGCCACTTTAGCTCACTTCTCTGACTGATTGTTCTGGAGTTTCAGGGGGGTCCCATTTGTGGCCTTTGGAGCACCAAATATTCATCATTCTAGGTGGTATTTTGAAAGTGCTATAAAACTCCATTGGTAAATTCTGCTGCCAAATGAATTTGACAATGGACTGTACTACAGTGGAGCTTTTACTTCATAAATGTAGCTTTGCTTTCAAGTGATGAGACAGAGATAGGCCTAAGGCTAAAGCTAGGTCAAATTTGAGGTCAAAATCATTATCCAAAATTGCTATTTCTCAAAAAACCAGAACACTCCCCTGCCTTCTTACATAACTTTCATACCAATTCCAGTATGTACTTTAGTGATCCATTTATCAAAATCAGTTGAGAAAAATTTGGCTTAATAAGGTTTGTTAGGTTTTTGGCACAAACTCTCCATGCCCCTTTAAGGCCAAGCAAAATGGAGTTTGGAGCATAATTCATGCTATAAACAGACCAAATTCTTGACATAAAGCCTTTATTTTGTATTAGGTGAGTCTT